CGCGTCTGGGGAGCGAGCTTGGTCCTGGTACGGCCGGATACCCATGCTGCGTGGCGGGGGGCGTGGAGGCTGGACACGCGTGCAGTTGGCCAGGCTTTGACGACGGAGCAGGTGGAGGAGATCCTGCGCGTGGTTACTGGACATGAACGCTACAAGGGTTACCAACAGGATCAGGCTCTGGCGAATGAGGAGGAAAGCTTTCTAAGGCTGGTGGAAGTATTCCAGCCCGAAGACCAGAGTGTGCATTCAGCGGTGGCGATTGCCGAGGACAAGTAGACTGAGAACTGTTCTGCCTCGCTCTACCAATGTCTACGATACATACTGCTGCTTGCTACAAGAAGAATCCAATTGTATCTCTTGTCTTGACGCATTTATTTTTCAACGCTTTTTTTCAAGTCGTAACTCCAATCCTTCTTTTCAAACGACCTCCCCCCACCCAAATTTGCATACACCATACCACACCACACAACATCATTAGTAGAGAGAGAGAGAGAGTCCTAAATGTCTGATCGCAACAGATAATCCCCCACATGCAACCCATCATAATCATCATCCAAGCCAGCCAGCCCCCCCCCCCCCATTCCACCCCCTCCGTTCTTCCCTCTATCAAGATCTTCTTGATAGACAAATCTATAAAAGAAATTCATGCAGTCGTTAATAATCCCGTCCACGCCACATCAAAAGAACCCATCTGCATCAGCGAGCAAACCAAAGGGCTATGCGAGGAAACTGGGGTATATATCAGAGCGACATCCCACCGGACTGCACCGCAAACGCAAAAGATCGTGAAGGAGGTGGATCAACTACAAAACGAGAGAGAAAGATGTATCATGATAACAAGTCAGAAAAGAGGATAGAGAGAAAAAAGACAAGGAGATCGCAGTACAATACGAATAGATTGGGAAAAACCCGCCATAAGCAGCGACATTAAGAAAAGAAAATAGCAAAGCAAGTCTCGGACAGTGAATCGTCTGATCGCAAGGACCATGCCCAACAGTCCCCGCGCTGACTTATGCTGTTGGAAAGTTATGAGAGGTGTAGTCACGGACTCGTGGTTACTGGTCAGCTGGTGGTCGGCTGGTGAAATGCTGCCTGCCAGTCGAACCTTAATATGGTCCTGGAATTAATGGCTGAATATCAGTCCTTGAGGGTTGTCCTCTTGTGAGGCAACAAGATAATAGTCCCGGGTGTCGGAAGGTGTGTTGATCGTTGTTTGGCTGGGTCTATCGCTCTTGCTTCTTTCTTATCTGTCCAATCAACACTTATAGGGTCTAAGCGATACGTTGGTAGAATAGCAGGTATGCCACCTTGTTGTCGCGAGCATTATAACGTCCGGCAGATGACCGTGTGATGTTAGGGGGCGCCGATGCTCCGTTGGTGCCGGACTTCTTGCCCGGCGTACCGTTGACCTGGCTCCAACCTCTCTCATTGTCAGATTGGTCATCCTGGTCGATGTGATCGAAAATATTGGCATTGGAGCTGTCCCGCTTGTGCTGTTCCATCGCGGCAGCCAGAACCTTAGGATCCTCCTCGCCACCGGCTTCTGCAACGTCCTCGCTGCGTACGCGACGGATCACAGTATCATCCAACCGAATCCACTCACGGCCATCTTGCCGGCGAACATCAACAGTGTAGTGGCCGCCACTGGCATTCTTGCCGTGATGATAAATGACACCGACAAGTCGGTACTTGGGCAGTCCGCCCTGTGCCATCATGACGTTGCGCTTGTTAGGTGGGAACACCTCGCGTGGAATCTCCAGATCAAGGGGATATCCGATCCGCTTCCAGATCTTCTGAGTACCGTTGGTGACACTGTCGTACTGGAACCGCTTGAGATGGAGGATGAGAACTGGGGGCAGGGTCTCGATGAAAACCTGCTTGGTGGCAGTGACATTAGGGCCACGTGCAGAATTGAAATCTCCCTGGATGCTCTCCGGCTTCGTCAAGCCCTTGAGAGCGTCAATGATGTTGTTGATTTCGGGGGACCCAATGTCAAGCTGCAGCGGCTGGTAGGGCTCCAAAGTAACAGAAGTCTTATTGCCAGGAACCTTGAACTCAGATCGGATCTTTCCTCCAAAGATTCTCGTGACTGGGGATTCCTGAGAAATGTCGCCAGATGAACGTGTAACTGCTGCCTTTTGCTTGTGGCCGACTTCCAACCATCCATCAGACTCTTCAGTTGCATTGTCCGCATCGGTGTTTGATGCCGTGGTGGTAGATGGTGCTTCCTTCGCAGCACGGCTGCACTCCTCGTGCATCTCTTCCAACAGGAAACCTAAGAATTCTTGTGCATCTTGCTGGTGGCCACGCTTTAACCGAGCGGAGTTAGTATATGACGCTTCTCTTTTTCTGGAGGAAGCCACTCACTCTCATGTCACGGAATCGCGGCAGCTGCCGGATCACATGGTAAACAAACTCCGGGATGAAAGCGTCACCATACTGCTCGAGCTCATTGGCCTTCAGCCTAAGGCGCAACTGCTCCTCTGTGTCAGCAGCATCAATGACGCGAAACTCCCTCATGAACATGATCCTGGAATAAAGTCAGTCTAGTTGAAATCTAAGACAATGGCGGAACGGTCATCACTAACAATGCATCGATCATGGGATAGTTATTAGTGAAGCTGTGTGATGCTCTCCGCCCAATGTGATCCATAAATTGGTAGAAGGGAACACAGAAGACCAGAACTTGCAGGACCTGTTCCCCGGTTAGATTTACGGAATGGACTGCGAGTCGATTACGAACTTACCGAGTTCATGTAGCACATATTGCCAGTATTGACAAGGCCTCTGGGCTCCAGGAACCCAATTTTGTCGCTGTACTGAGAAACATCTTCTCCCAAGCTCATCAAAACATCAGCGAGCATCTCACTTTTGGGCTTCACAACACCGTTGGTCGCAGCAGCAGAAGATCCAGAGGTACCGGCTGCTTTGGCCAAGGACTTGGATTTAACCAAGTCTGCCCAGGATTTAGGGGCTGCAGGAGCGGGCTGGGTTTGCTTGGCAGGCTCCTGGGCCTTCTCATCGGCAGGCTCTTGTTCCTCGGTCACCTCACCAGTGCCGCTGGTACTAGTAGTCTTCGGCGTCTCTGAAGAACGAGTGGCCTCGTCTTTAGAGGCCTGACGAGGAGTTTCAGGAGCAGGAACAACAGGGACGACCGGAACGACCGGAGCAGTGGGCTTGGGTCCCTTTGTCTGAGACTGAGGGCGACCAGATAGGGTCTGGGTTACCGAGGATGGAGTAGTGGGTTGAGTGGAATTCGCGACCGACGGGGCAATAGATAAGGTCGGCGTCTGGGGCTCTGATGGTGTTGGCACACTTTCCACATTCTCTGCGCCTTGCCCCGCATTTTGTTCAAGTCGCGGGGCGTCCTTCACTGGGAATTCAACTGAGGCCGAGGAAGATTGGAAAGCACGGCCTTTGCGACGCCTGCGAGGAGCTCTGGCAGGGAAAGGCGATTCAGGATCAGACAGCCATGGGAGCTAGTGATTTATCTCTGTTAGACAACGGGATGATAATGATTGATTCCAAGCGCTTACCGGTGGAGAGAATGGCTCTCTGGGGGCAGGTTCAGCCTGAACCGGGACCGGAGGCGGTGGTGAAGGCACAACAGGACTTGCCAGTGCTTGGGCCGAAATGACTGCAGGTGATTGCGCCTGGGTTGCTAAAGAAACAGGCGCCATGCCAACGGGAGACATGGTGGGTTGCAGGGGAGTTGAAGTTCTGGGCTGCATAGGAAGCGTCGGAGGGTGGATGTGCGCTGGAGCCATGATCGGCTGGGAGGGCGGGTAGGTCGCAACGTACATCGAGCCATACGGGTGATGCTGGTATGGGCGGGGAGGCATCTGCATGGGAGGATAAGGGTACCAGTGGGAATATTGTTGGGGCGAGTATGCGGCCGGGGGAGGATGGCCGTTCATATGGGGATGGAAGCCCATGTACGCGGGCGGAGATCGCATGTTCGGAGGGCCTGCGGTGTAGGGAATATCTTGTTGTCGACGAGGGGTGGGCGGCATGGGTGGCTGCCCATGGGGCATAGCGGGCAGATGGTGGTTCATCTTGTCCAGGCAGTTGGAGGAGAGGGAAGTCGCCTTGACGATTCAGCCACGCGTTGCCTCAATGGGAGCCATACGAGATCGTAAGAGAAAGACCGTGACTGATGAGAGGGGGTTTATGCCCGTCTAAGCAGCCATTCTAACTTCCAGAACTGAGTCTGAAAGCTAGGACTAGGAAGATTGGGAAGAGGTTCTTTGGCGGTGAGAAGTCCTGAGGCGTCGAAAGGGATCAGCGCGATGACAAGAAGACGAGGAGGTTGCGCCAGAGAGCTCGGAGAAGAGCACGATGACTCGAAACTCAATATGGAAATGCAGTACTGACCTAGGATGATGAGGGTGTAAAGCTGTAAGTAGATCTAAGAATAAAAATTCTTGGAATGCGAGGGGAAGGGTGGAGGTAGGTGAACAATGGATAACACCCGGAGTAACAGCAGCAGCAGCGGAGGGGGCAATAGGCGGGTTTGGCTGGGGAGCTGAGAAGGAGATGATGTTTTTTTGGCGGTCGGCACGTGCCTGAGGCTCCTGTGGCCTGCCAAGACATGACATACTCGCCCCTCCCGAGTCCGAGTCCGAGTCCCGAATCCCCTCCTCCCCTCCCCTCTCTCTCCTACTCTTCTTCTTCCTCCTCCTCCCCCTCCTCCTCCTCCTCTTCTTGTTGCGCGTTTTGTCTACTTGTCCTGATGCGAAAGGGGAAGCCTCAGGTTCCTGGTGCTTCTCCCTCTCCTTTGCGCCACCCTTCGGGGTCTTCGTGATTGTTCTTCAAATCGCATCGTCTTATCTTAAGTCCTTCTCCAACCTCACCTTTCCCCTTCCAATCAACTTTAGGGTGGCTGTATATTCTGCATCCCCATCGTTCATGCACTGCCGTCGTCCACTATTTTCCCCTTAATAGGAAGGTAGTCAACCTCACTCATTTCACGCCATCCTCCTCCTTGATTACACATAATAATGTCGTCCAACCCTGGCCAGATTCCCACATCCAAAGCGGTGAATGTTTCGAGTCAGCCAGCGCCCGCGACATACCATTCATCTGAGAACAGCGCGCAACGACGCGCTGGAGGCTCTGGTAGTTTTGGGGCTGGCTTAACATCGAGAACCCCTAGCTATCCCAGAAACAATCAGGCGAGGAGAACTCAGCGACAACGGCGCCCGAAGGTGTTGGATGATGACGATTACAGTGAATCAGTATGCCCTCCCTGGCAATATCCAGCTGTGTTTGAATGAACTAACCGGCGCGATCATTCGCAGGCCATCATGAAGTCTTCAACCAGCCGCAAGGGGCAAACGTCCATCACGCATCTAATGAATTTCTCTCTTCCCCCACGCCCTCAGTATCAGCCTCCGCCCCGCAACCCCCGCCGTTATACCTCCTGGGGCCCGGGCTCCGGATATCACGCGGTGGATAAGGCCCGATATGTTCATGCAAACTACCGTTTCATTGTGAATCCAACCCAGAACTATCATACTCAGGCGGCTAACGCCGACGTTCACTTGGACTGGGATTCAGTTCTTCAAGTCCTAGTGTCTGAACAAACTCAGTCCGCCAGTTGTCCTATCTGTCTCTCCACTCCGGTTGCCCCGCGAATGGCACGATGTGGTCACATCTTCTGCCTCCCCTGCCTCATTCGCTACATGCATTCCACTGATGAAGAACATCCGGTCCCTGAAAAGAAGCCGCGTTGGAAAAAATGTCCGATCTGCTGGGATTCGGTCTACATCTCCGAAGCACGCCCTGTGCGTTGGTTCCGTGGTCAAGAAGGTGATCTTCCTGTCGAAGGCGGCGACGTTGTTTTAAGATTGGTCAAAAGAGTTCCTGGCAGCACCCTAGCGCTGCCTAGAGACGGAGCCGAAGACATCGCTCCCGGTGCGGATATTCCATGGTACAATGTTGCCGAAGTCGCCGACTATGCGCGGATTATGAAGGGGGGTGAGGACTACATGAAGGGCCAGTATGATGCAGAGATTTCCGGCTTGCGAGCGCAAGAGGTAGAAGACGAACTTCTGTTTGGGGACGATTCTACATGGAGCAAGAAGGCAGTTGCCGCCATCAATGAGGCGAAGTCCAAGCTAGATGGCATCGGGAACCCTCCAGAGGATGTTGAGCGACAATTTGTCAACCTACCATCGGAAGGTGAAACCGCCATGGATTCTACATTACAAGATGCTGCATTATCAGGCAAAGGCTCATCTGCAGAATCTTTTCTATCTGAAGGCGAAGGTCTTGACAGGACCTTGGAGAACAAGGTTACTGCCAACAATGCGGAGCGTGCGACCGAGGCGCTCGACCAGCTCGACCTGAACTCGACCGGCTCAAAGAACAAAAAGAGAGATCTCGGGATCGGTCGTGGCCCTGAACACCCGTTTTACTTCTACCAAGCTCTACCTCATTTCTATCTTTCCCCGCTGGACATTCGCATTCTTAAGGCCGCCTTTGGCGATTATCCCTCATTCCCTGCCACTATTCTACCACGGGTTGAACGAATCTCTACTGGGCATATTGTCGACGACGAACTTCGAAAAAGGGTCAAATATCTCGGTCATCTCCCCTATGGATGCGAAGTGAACTTCCTCGAATGTGATTGGCGCGATGTCGTTCAGCCCGAGATTCTACAGGAGTTCAAGTCTGAAACCGACAGGCGGAGAAAGCGGAATCGAGATAAAGAGGCCCGAGAAGAGAAGGATCGCATCCGTGCTGAGCGGGAAGAAAATGAGAAGGGCTGGGCCTCTGCGTACCGAAAAAGACTGAGTGTTGGTAGCAGCAGTGACCCTCCGTTTTCTGACCGTGATTTCCAGCCTTTAGCAAGCGGCGCTCCAGGCCTTGAGATGTCTCCTCCGGAGGAGGGCTTAGAGTTTTCATCAACAAGCCCACCCAGCAGTCGAACAGTCTGGGGCACGGCAGCAGTGACACCTCTTTCCCAGCCATCCAGCTCTCAGGCAGCCGCTTCTGATGGTTGGCTTCGAGGCTGGGAAGAAGAGCTCTGGGCCCAACAAGAACGAGAGGCCCTTGCTCAATCAGCTGCTGAGGGGGCTAGTACACCCGCCTCCTCTTCAGGTGGGAAGAAAAAGAAAAATAAAAAGATCACACTCATGTCGACTAACATCCAAAGAGGTGCTTGACTGCTCAGGCTCTCATGGGTGGGATTTCGGTTCAGGGAGCAAGGGGACATGTGGACATGGATCAGGAGTCACAAGGCAAATTCGCATGTAGACACCATCTGTTTAAACTTATGTATGATCAATGATAAATATACATTTCTGTATCTCATTTATAGCGGATATATTGTACTGTTCAGTGCGAACATGAAGGATAGGAGTATACTTTGAAGTTGCCATAGTCATGAGTAGAGCCCGTAGGAGATGCAGTTTGTTGAGCCAGCCAGGCCAATCATTGAGGGTAAACCGGTTAGTGTGCGTCTTTAGCCAGGTGTTCAGATCCTTTCCCCTGCAGATCCCACTACGTATTGGATGAGTGCAGACTAATCAGAGGTTCGAAAGGTCATTGTTTGTAGGAAGCAATGTTATGTGAACTTTCAACGAGAGTACCGTCCAACCATGAGAAGAGAGATGCTGCTGATGCTATAATTTACAGGCACTGACCAAGTAGTTGTAGTACTCGTAGTATAACTTATAGTTCCTATGTACGGTGTTCTAAGTACTGTACTGTAGAAGTGCCACCGTACGGGTAAAGAATCCACTCAGTCTTAGTCTAGTGTCTCCCCGACCCTGATGAGCACTGGGCACTGTTGTTCTTCTTCCTCGATCGCCCCATCATTCTCTCTTTTCCCCCCTCTCTTCCCTACCTCCCCTCTCGTTGTGCGATATTAGCTCTGTGGGGTGCTTCATCTCAGTCGTTCCCTCGTACCTACACTTGAAATTATTATTAAACTCAATTGACTGCATGGTCCGCGCACAATGACCGTGACTCGTTCCCAAACGGGGAAAACCCCCAAGTAAGTGATTTGTTTTGCGCAAGGGTGAAAATCTCCCAACAAGGAATTCGACTGCCTGCGCAGTCTGAATACCTCAAATCCTCCCTCTCTTCCCCTTCGCTTCGTCTTCACCTGCGCGCATAATAGCTTCGCGGCCACTTTGAGCTCACAGTTGGATCAATGGCTAGGAAAATGGAGCGTCCTGGCTTCATCGAGACCCCCGGTCGCCGCGTTACCCGCAGCAGCGTTGCGCCATCCGACGACACTTCCGATTCAGCAGCAGATGCTTCAGGACAAGCCAAGCCATCGTCTCGAAAGCGCTCCTCCGCCAAGGTCAAGATCGAGGATACCTCGGATGAAGAGACAAACACGCCCGCGACAAATGGACACGCCGCCATTTCGAATGGCAAGAAGCCACGCATCATCGATGGCTGGGAGGAGGGCAAGGACCCCAAGGTCGATCACAGCGGGCATTTCGAGTTTGGAGGGTCTTTGGGTGTATTGTGCATGATGATCGGATTCCCGATGCTGATGGAATACATGTGGCTCGGTGCCACCTATTACGATGGCAAACCGCCGCTTCCTGAACCGGGCCAGAGCATCCCTGAGTTCTTTGCGCATCTTGCTAACCTGCTCTATGCGGGTGCGTTCCCGTCGCTGAAGGCATGGGCGATATATTGGGTATTTTTTATCTTTGAGGGGGCTTGCTACGTGCTTCTCCCAGGTATCACCGTCATGGGTCGTCCTCTGCCGCACCTCGAAGGCAAGCAGCTCCCTTATTACTGTTCCGCTGTCTGGTCCTTCTACACGACGATCGCCTTGGCCTTGGGACTTCACTTCACCGGCATTTTCAAGCTTTACACGATCATCGATGAATTCGGACCTCTCATGAATGTGGCCATTCTCTCTGGTTTCATTGTTTCATTCATCGCGTACTTTTCAGCATTGGCTCGAGGCGCAGAGCACCGTATGACTGGGTATCCCATTTATGATTTCTTCATGGGTGCCGAGCTCAACCCTAGAATGTTTGGTATCCTGGACTTCAAGATGTTCTTCGAAGTCCGCCTACCATGGTATATTCTTCTGTTCGTCACTATGGGTGCAGCTGCCAGACAATATGAAATATACGGATATGTATCGGGAGAGGTCGGCTTCCTTCTCATGGCTCATTTCCTCTACGCCAACGCCTGCTCTAAGGGCGAGGAGTGTATCGTTTCCACATGGTGAGTTTTCGGTTCGGGACGCTATCAGCATAACAAGCTAATGAGGAATCAGGGATATGTACTATGAGAAATGGGGTTTCATGTTGATTTTCTGGAACCTTGCCGGAGTGCCTCTGAGCTACTGCCACTGTACCATTTACCTTGCCAACCACGATCCCGCTACCTATCGCTGGAACCGGCCTTTCCTGGTGTTCCTCTATGTCGCGTACCTCTTCGTGTACTGGGTCTGGGATACGACCAACAGCCAGAAGAACCGCTACCGCCAGCAGGAGCGTGGTACTTTGGTGTTTCGCAAGACTTTCCCTCAACTCCCTTGGCAAACACTGAAGAACCCCAAGACCATCACAGCTGAGGACGGTTCAAAGATCCTTGTTGATGGTTGGTGTAAGTTTCGCAGCGGAACCCAGACATGAGTTATAATTCATGCTAATCTTGTCACAGACGGAAAGGCGCGCAAGATCCACTACACCTGCGACCTGTATTTCGCATTGAACTGGGGCTTGATCACCGGCTTCAGCAGCCCGTTCCCATGGTTCTACCCCGTCTTCTTTGCATGTATGATCAGCCACCGCGCACTGCGCGATATTCAACGCTGTCGGAACAAGTATGGCGAGGCGTGGCGAGAGTATGAGAGACAGGTTCCCTACCTGTTCATTCCTGTAAGTTTACTTTTTGAGATCTCTCTCTCTTACATGGAACGTCAACTTATCAGGCGAATTAGTACGTCTTCTAAACGACTTCATGCGCTGGAAATCTCCATCGGCACATTGACCATTTCTTTGTAAAGCCGACCTGCGCCGACAAAGATGATCTTGTCAACACTTCGACCTTGGCCCTTCTCACGAGCTCTATTAATACACTCTTGTAATCATCATTCCCAGCCTAATCCTGGAAACTCCACTCTGTCACTGACTGCTACCCAGTGTGGCAAATCAGACTACTGATGGGTCTGCCAGTGTAGGCTCTATCTTTCCGGCTTGTGTTATTTCTACTTCCATGAAAATTATACAATTCCTGTACATTATTAGACTGTTGTTCTTGGTTGTCTCCGCTTTCGCCATTTTATGATCATGTACGTGGCTTACGGCCTTCTTCGACCTATCTGCCTGTGTTTATTCAAGATACCAATGTACATTCTAGTGCATCCTAAGCCACCTTAACATGACTGGCAGGTGCATATATGCACTGTAGCACTGATCATGAAATTAGGCCGAAGGTATGTTGATCACATGACCAACCCTCCAGGCCTATCGGTCGGCAATCAGTCCGGGGCTGCAACCCCGCCGAGCTAGCTATTTATCCAGCTGCTGGAGTCTTGCTCGGACGAAGATTGTATTCAATCAGGAAGCAATTGGCATTCCGTTTCGCGTATCTGTAACGACTCTCTCATCATGTTGATTCAAGAATCCTACCACGATGTGCCTACCACGGCGGACGGCAGTGGGACCATGCGTATGTTATAGAGCTCGCGCAACCAACGTTCATATTCGGCTCCCACCCATGGAGAGGAGCACTCCTATGATATCGAACTTGAAGACCGAGGGTGAGAGTGCTAACATGTACCTGTCAGGTATTTACGTCTATCACCCCACCATTCCAGGATATCCCAAGGCACGGTTCCCGGGTGTGGTAGTATTCAGTGAGATCTATCAAGGTATAACTCCCCCGCCTTATCGAACCCACTGCAGCCCGGAGCAACATCACCCGCTGTTGAGCTGGGCTCTTGTTCCACTGTACCTGAGTCCAACCCGTTGACATGAATTCTCAAAATCAGTCACCGGCCCCGTGGCGCGCTTCGCCCGTCAAATTGCCGGTCAGGGCTATATCTGCGCCGCCCCCTCTAGCTACCACGAATTCACCGGTCCGGAAGCCCTTGAGTATAATGCCGAGGATACCGACAAGGGAAATGAGTGGAAGATCAGCAAGGTAACAGCAATCTTGACATAATTTGAAGAGACTGTGCGCATGCTAAATCCCGGTGACAACAGAAAATCGCCGCCTACGACGAAGACGCCTCTCTCTGTGTGGACTACCTCCTGGCACTGCCCACGTGCAATGGACGTGTGGGCGCAACGGGAATGTGCCTGGGTGGCCATCTGGCATATCGGTGTGCGCTGGATAGCCGGGTGAAGGCGGCCGTGTGCTATTTTGCGACCGACATCCATAGCCACACGCTTGGGAAGGGTAAGAACGATGACAGTCTGGCCCGCGCCGGAGATATCAAGGGAGAGTTGACCATGGTGAGTTCTTGTCTTGCTTCGAATATTGAGAAAGGGGGGGGAGGAAGTGAGTACAACAAGCATGGTAACTGACGTTAATGCAGATTTTCGGTAAAAACGACAATCATGTCCCTCCGGAGGGAAGGGATCTAATCCGCAAGACACTTCATGAGAAGGGGGTCTTGTTTAGCTTTTATGAGGTGGCCTGGGCGCAGCGTAAGTTTTACCTTCATCCCCCTATCATGGTTTCTAGGTTTGGTGGTGCGAAGGGTTGGGGCTAATGTGAACAGATGCTTTTATCCGGGATGAGCTCAGCAAGGGACGTTATGACCCTGCTATCACCAAGGTGTGCTTTGAGATGTTGCTCGAGTTGTTCGGACGGACTCTCAAGCTGGATTTGGGGGAGCATGATGGGAAGGAGTTGGAGATTGAGGACGTTTGCTAGTGGGCGCAATTGTTTAAGAAGAAAAGTCGCATTGGCGACAATTATATGTATAAATGCTCCAGCACCACGCCTCTTGGCGTAGTACAAACACCTAGCACTGCCGGAGTGAGTTGTCATGCAGTGTATTGCTCAATCTACTTACACTCTCCTTGAGACGTGGCAATCCATCTGTCTGTACGCCCCGACTGGTGAGTTGCTCTTCCTTTACAACTTTGATGATCAAGTAAGGTCCTGAGAACATCTAGTGGTGTCTACGCAAGGGAGCGCAGGAGCCCGGGGAAACCGAGCCAACAGACAATCGGCCTATAGGAGACAGCCCCGAACAACCACGAGTTCGTGCCGTTGCTGTGGATTGTCCGTCGGCGAGGATGCATGAACAAATGTATGTGATTAATGAGCGATGCATGAATGGTGTCGATTCATCTGAGACATTGAGACCAAGGAAGGGAGCTCGGGTAGCTCTGTCGATCGTCATGATCATGAACATGATCAGTTAGCTCATCAAATTGTGGCTGGGGCGGGATGGCGGTGAAATCATCCCGACGTGCCATGCCATGCCATGCTGTGCCATGCCATACCTTCAACATTTACCAGCACTCCTCCGTCCGTACTACGAAGAAAGTAGCAAAAGAATGCTGCCTGTCAACACTAATCGGGCTCTGCCAGGAATCTGGCCAGCGTCATCATTCTTCATGAGGGGAAAGCTGGGATTAAAATAGAAGTGGGATTGGGGACCGTGGGTATCGCCCTCGTCATCCATGGTCAGCCCAGGGCGACCCTCTCTTTGTTTTTTCTTTCCCAATTTTTGATATCAACTAAGAAGTGAACCACCATTGTTTTAATGGAATCAAACCGCATAGAATAAAGAGGAAGAGAGAGAGAGAGGTGCGACTTTGGTGTCAATCCTCTCAATTTTATAAATGGTTGTCAAATCTTGCGTCGTTAACCGCAGGAAGCGATTTCCTGGGGACGACAGCTGGTGCAGTGACAAGAGTAGCAGCAATTCATATTTTGGTGAAGTTTTGGTTCCTGGATTCGCTGCAGGGTTTTTTTCTCTCCTCTTGTTGGTCAATTCCTCATTTAGTTCTTGTTCTTGGCCCCCTCAACGGCGGTTCTTCCGGCCGGACTCTGGGCTGTCTTTTCCACTCCAGGGCTGACCATTCGTTGTTATTTGCTGGATGCCGTATTGCGGTCTCCATCACGCTTTTAGCCCCGGGCTAAACCCAGAATCCCGTTCCTCGCTCTACTGTTAATCTCTCTAATCATCTTCTCTCGAGTCTAGCCTAATCCTACTCATAGTTTAGTCTAGTCTAGTCTCTCGTCTTCCATGTCTCGTTTGTTTCCCTGGATCATGGTCATGGACAACTGATTGACTGGTTGCTTGATTGATCGCGACGAAGTACGGACGTGCTGTCTGTAGTCTGTCTGTACCTAACCAACCTACCTACCTCACTATCACTAACTTAGTTACACCTCTTGCGGCCTTGCCTTCGTTCTCACCTTTCTCCCTCTCTCCCTCTCTTCTCCCTCTCTCCCTCGTTGTCTCTCTCTCTCTCTCCCTGGCTATCCCCTCATCACCATCATCATCTTCATCACCGCCATCATCTTCCTGCTTCTTAGCCGCCGGCTTCCCCTCTACGTACGGACAACAATTCTCCTCCTTCTCTCGCTCGTCCTCGTCAGCAACGCCCACCAACCTTCACCATCTTCACCACTTCCCGGTCCTTCGATACTAATCCATTACTCTTCCATATTTCCGCTCCCCCCACGTCTTAATCTACGTCTTAATCAGCACCGGTGTTTGACATATACGCTGACAGCCTGACGCTCCCCAATCGCTCTTTTGCATTCTGCCAATCATCGTTTCTAGAATTGTTTCTGATTCTTCACGTCTTTCGCTCCTCCATCTCTGTCGTCTTGCTTCGACCCGGTCTCTGTCCGAGCTGCTGCACGACTAATTGCCAACCCAACGTGTCCGCCATCCCGTGTCTGATCCGGCGACGACCTAATTTAATTCGTCTTTCGCCTACCCTCTCTTTAGGCTTTACCGTTGTTTCTCTTTTGCTTTTTTGCTTTTCATTATCTTCAAGCGGGAAGATCTTGCGATCGACAAGGCTCTCATAATCCTATCCTTGACTTTTCGCATTTCCTGAACAGCGATCTGCGGCGGAGCTATCGTGACCGGCGTGGGTCCAGGCAGGGAAAACCAACTTAATTCAGTCACCACTGCCATCATCATTACCTCTCGAATCACCACTTTTACTTCTTCGCTGCTCCTCACGGCCTGACCTCTGTCGCATGTTGTTGAGCCCGTCTTGATCATGGGTTCGACGCAGTTTGGCAATTTCAACGTGGGTTCCCAATTGAGCTGCAACTCGAGCTTGGACTGACCGTGGCCGATTTGCACGTGTAGGACTTTTGTCGCGATTCCACCTTACCAGTCTGCAATGTATGTAATCCTCCTCACCATGTCTCACTCGGACCTCGGGACATCGCTAACCATTGCCATCTTCAGCTATTTGTCTCAAATAATCAACCTCCAAACAAAGCTTATGGTGGATGTGTACTCAAGGGCATTGAGCTCAGTGGTGACCGATATCTCAGCAATTTGGGTATGGCATGATAGTGGAGAGGGAAGGTTGATCTCGACTGACGCGCACCAGGTTCAATTCTCCTGGCATTCATCTCCATCCTGACTACACTTTTCCTGCTCTTCAGATCTGACCGCAAACGAGCCGCAGTCGGAAGAAGGTACGCAACAAGAACAAATTTAGGATATCGGGGACCAGAAGGGGAACTAATTGGAGCAGGGAGATTCAATTATTCTTGTTTGGCTTTCTCATTATTGAAATCTGCGAGATCTTCTCCGTGGGTGGATTCCCTCTGGACGGTGCGGTCCGAAAGGTTAGTTTGCCCAACTTGTCGCGACGCTCAGCGCCTCATTCATTTATCCCACAGGGTTTTTCGGCGGTACATATTGCTGCTATCACTGCGACATGCTGGATTCTTCTGCTCAATGCTCTGGTGGGCTTTCAATTCCTTGACGACGGCACACCCGCTTCTATCGGCTTAATTGTCGCCTCCGGTCTTGTCCTCTTCATCGGCACGGGATATATTGCCTTGGATACAGCTTTCGACTGGACAGGCGAATTCGCAACCACATCCTCAAACCACTATCGCAACATTGCCCTTTATGTGCTGTACCAGCTCTTCCCGCTTGTCTGTCTCGTCTTATTCTATGTGTTCGAAGTTATCTTGGTGGTGCGAGTTCTTGGCGAATTCCGGCCGTTGAGTATGTTCTTCCGCACTTGTTTTATACTTCATGATTCTGACTTTGCTGCAGTCTACTTGACGGCCGCCGCACTCCTATTCGCCATTGGCCAGATCTTCGAATACGTGATCAGCGTTCATCTGTGCGAAGCGTCTAGCGGGAAAATTAATGGTGCGCTGTTCGAGACGCTGTTCACTTTACTGGCGGTAGTTGCTGTGTGGTTCTTCTGGAGTAGCATCACGGAGGATGACTGGCCCATGCCGATGTCAACCCCTGGAGGCTACCATTAGACCAAGGGAACCCTATCAGGATCTCCTTCATGTCTTTGTGACCATCGCTCACATCTTGTTTCCATGTTTCTTCTCTACGATCCTTGCACATATAGTGCCTCAATACCCATTTGGATTTTGTTCGCGGGCCTCGCGTCGCATCTGTAACTGCGTCTTGCGATGAAGACCCGTATGCTTGCCATGTTCTGTGTGATACCTATTTCACCATATGTTTGATGATGTTCTGCTAATGTGCCTCGGTGTGAGTTATGTTCTAACGATGACTTACCGCGGCGAGTGAGCCCGAAGGATCACCGTCGGCTATATTTACTGTCTTCCTGTCTCCATTTCTTTTCACCTTGCATTAGATACCTATCTGTATTGTAATTATTCGATTTGATGTTTAATAGGACGTACGCAGGAGACGTCGAGTTGCATGATTCCAGTCTTGGTCACTCTGGTCATTCACCAACCGCTGTACGTGCCACCACTTCTAAAGACCTTCTGTGAACAACTTGCTCGTATCCCAGTTTACTCCAGGTGCACGCAAAGGACATCATTCTAGAAAGGACACATACATCAAACTTTCCGTCTCACGTAATGACTGCGTCAGGGCACTTGCGGGGCGCCTTTGAGCGAGTTCCAAATCCAGATGACATATCATCAGGACTGACTCCTGAGAATAAGAGATAGGAATAAACTTCAATATAGGCTATGTACAGACTGAATCAGAATCACCCACGCCTCGCCCACTATCGTGTGGCCGAATTCCTGGCTAGATAGTTCTTCATCCTGAAAAGGCGGTATTTCTCCTTCGCGAGAACTCGCAACGTACCTGCAGCGAACATCATACAGCGCATCAAAGGTTTAGATGATGAACCGCCTCTCTAGGTCTGAATCATGCTCCCGTGTTCAAGCAAGATCTCCTTCCATCGCTCCCCGCGAATATAGAAATAAGGACCCCGAAGTGCCCCCGGCCGGTATATATGTAGACAGAGCAAATGACACCAACCGCCCAATATATGTTTTTTTCTCTGATCACAGAAAACCCTCCCCGCATCCCCCAAACCACTTAGAGCCTCACCTTTACATCCACGCATGGCAAGGTCCACTCCCTCCGCCCCAGCAGACTTCGCACCCACTCCATGCCAATCCCCGTCCATTCTTGCGGTACACCGGCCTCGGCCGATTGGTTCAGCGCGAGCCGCCGCTGCGCCTCATCGATGACGGCCCCGGAGAGGGTCTTGGCGGTGGAGGTCACCGTCTCCAGGAGATACCCGGCTAGGGTCTCGTTGGCGGGACTGACCGGGCATGAGGTGGGCGCCGCGGCCGGGGGCGTGTAGCGCGGACTGAACCAATCGCCGCGGAGGTCGAAGAAACATCGGTCGGACCAGTGGCAGGAGGAGATGAAGAGGATGAGGAGCAGCGCGGAGCAGTAGATGCACGGTCGGTGGAGGATG